TAGATCTTTTTCCACCAGCATGTACTCATGATTGCTACAAATCTTTCATATTAAAAAAAACTGCAGTAAGTCCCTAGTACGCGATATCATCAGTTACACTATGCGTCTTATGTCCACCACAGTAAAGAGCATTTTTGTTGTAAGATAGCATACTGCACAATGCTGTCACAGCGATAACTAGAGCATGAATGCAATTTCTCGGCTGCAGATCAGCGACAAGTGTTTTTGCATAATGCGAATTAAATATTCAAAAAATTACATTTATTCGTCATTTGCTATTACGGTTGATTCTCAATTAAAAGATCAATGGTTCAATACCAGTGGCGCCATTTGCTTTATAACTTAGACAGATAGATATATACACACTTTATTGATCACACACAAAAAAAAAACAAAAACAGTACATAGACAACTAAGAAGTAATGTGGACCAAGGCGGCATTATCGCTGAAAGCGATCTCTTCCAGAAAACCTTTGAGGTAGAGAACTGAACAGAGAGAGAGAGAGAGACGTATTGTGCCAGTGATAAAAATTTAAATGCATTATTAAAAACTTTAGTAGCAGTAGAGCTCCTTGTGAAAGAGTTCGTCCAGGTTAGTACTGCCACTTTACCTATTTCTACCGCCAAGCAGTAATGTTAGCATTACTGCGTTCCGGTTTTGAAGGGTAAGGGTGCTGATGAAATTATAGGCAAATGGGACTTGTCATCTTACGTCTCAAGGTGACGGGCGCAGTGACAGTGCCCTTCTGATCTTTGCGTTTAAAGCTCTGAGTGGCACTGCACCTGTTATGGACAGGCGTGTAGCTTACAGCACTAGGCGCACGACTTGCTCGTCCCGTCACTTGATATTATAAAAAAAATAAAATTAAAAAGTTACATTATCATATTATCAAATAATAAATGACCATAATATTATATACCTGCACTAATATTCATTTGCTTATATAAATATACTTAAATAAACTTCTACTTACTACTAAATATACAGACTAAGTTTCAGAGCAAGATCGAGCCAGAAGATGCTTACACAGTCCAGTTTTAAGTATAGCTATGTATATAATAATATAGCTATATAACATAATTTACACTAATGTACACTTGTTCATATTTAGTAACAATACCTATTGCTAACGGTGTAGGAATACATCGCGAGGAACCTTCATGCCGTAGAAGGTTCATAACCCTAGGAAAACGTGTGAAGTTCCCAACCCGCATAAGAGGGGACCCGTGCTCGGGAATGAGACGTATAACTCGTTAATGATGTTATTACTCAGGCAATTGGCCCTAGTATGGCATACTGACAAAGGTTCGAGTCATGCCATATCGAAGAAATTTTTGTTTGTGTTCGACCTTTGAATTAATAATTATAAGGAACTAGTAGAGTAATTTACAAATAAAGTTTTTTTTTTTTTAATAGGAACCGACTTAAAAATGCTTATATTTACTTTCAAACTCAAACTACAACGTTAACAATCGGGTACCGGTTCATCCCCTAGTTTGCCACCCTTAGAGGTGAAATATTTTCTTCAATTTAAATGGGAAGACTGATATACTTTCTCTCCAACAAAAAAATAGTTATCAAAATCGGTTAACAAATGACGGACTAATCGGGTAACATACACACAAAAAGAAATACAATCGAATTGATAACCTCCTCCCTTTTTGAGGTCGGTTAAAAAAGAAATAAATATTGTAGGTACTAAAACATCATGATATTCAATAATATCAGTGTTATTGTTTGTAGATGTTACAATTATTTGTACGAAACCCTATTTTTAGTACTGAAGACTTTCATATTTAAAAAATAATACTTACCATAATATGTTAATGTTTTGAAAAGCATAAACCATTAAGCACGAAATCTGAATCCATTATCATTCCTATGCGGAGACGATTAGAGTGCATCATTATAACTACTTCCGACAAGTTCACAGTTTTAATTAGTGCAATGTCAATTAGCGACGTACAGACAATGAACTGAAAACTGCCATCCATTGTTACCAAGTCGAGACTCCATAAAATAGCTAAAAACAAATGAGGAACACAACAATCTAGAGAAAAGAAAAACTATTCGCAGAAACACGTGTTTTAATGCAAGCAATAATTGTTTTATACGTTACCAGTCTCATATGAGGAAATTGTTATAATTTTTCTCGCATGAGAAACTGTGTATAAATTAATTATATAGCCCACTAAACAACGATAAAAAATTATTAAATTTATACCTAATCTTTAATAAGGACTGTGAAACACTTAATTTCTCAATTATTACAATACCGATTAGGTGCCTAATAATTAAAAACCGGTTTATAAAAGTACGAAAATTTAATAAATTGTTAACATTTATGTGATAATTATACGTAGGAGCTTTTACAAGGAAAAAGCTTAATTGGCGTACACAGTTAACGTCAGCACTTGAAGTAAATAGAAGAGGTACCTACGATACATATGTAAGTATGCTCATTGTGCAGTGCGTAAATAAAGCTTTTAGGCGCATAATTTTACTGAAATGCGTGATATTTGCTACTGTTTTATTAAACAGTATAATTTATTAATCATATCAATGACTTCAAACTTAAATACCTACTTCACAGAGACTAAGGGTCGTATTCTAGAACTCTACTCAATGCTCAAGTCAGGATTGTACTGGAAACACAATCACTTGAGTATGATTTCGAGTGCTTTAAACCATACTCAAATCCTGACTTGAGCATTGAGTAGAGTTCTAGAATACGACTCCGAATGTTACCCGTTCTTAAGAGGTGGTCACATATGTTGCAATATTTTCTTACACAGACTGAATTCAAAATCCAAATCTAAACGTGTCCAAGACCACCTCGTAATAGATTGCATCGCATAATATCGACGTGTAGGTACGTTGACATCAGCCGCTATCCCAACACTATTGAAGGCAACAATGCGAGAGATCTGTCACAAAAACTAGAGCTTCACCGCGTGTCGTTCACCTCGAGGAAAACTGTTTACAAGAGCGACCATAATCGAGAAATGCACATAATCGGGAACTATTCAATCGATGTTTTATTAATTAGAGCTTGGTTTCGTTGTGATTATCTCAATTAAATCATTTGCCCGTTCAAGGGGAAAAGAGTTTAGTTTTCCTTTAATAAAGTTTTTCCGTGAATGCAGTTTCTACTATTTATTACAATGCATGCGACACGCTTTACTGCAAAATAAGGTATTTTGCTAAAACATACACTTGTATTTAGAAATATTAAATAAATCCATTTGTTTAGTTCCTAAACAGCCTCAACAACCGTTACATTTATCTAGGCCAATCGAAACTTCTGAAAAGACCCTTATAGAGAGAAATATGAAAGACCAGGAAAGCAGAAACGTGAAGGCGTATTAGGAGCGCGCTCGTATTTACCCCAAGCAGTACGGAATATGGATCTACGCTAATGATGCCCATATTTGCACCGAATGCGCTTTGTTGCGCGGTGAGCCATTGAGGTGAGATTATTGTACAAGCACCTACAAGTCTCAGACACATGACCAGAATAGTGATGGCAGTTATGAATGACAGTTAAGCGATGTCAATACGAGTGTGTACTGTCGATTACTTAAGTAGTGACTTTTTTTATGATACCAAGTGGCAGGACGAACAAGTCGTGCGCTTGGATTTAAAAGTTTTATTAATCTCAAAGTAGGTTTTTGGGACCTAACGCTCTATAACATAAGTTGATAAGTCCCTTCAAAACCGGAACGCAGTACCCAATGCTCACATGACTGTTTGACGCCAGAAATAGATAAGGTGATAGGCAGTACTTCCCTGGCCGAAAAACCTACTAAATTGCTGTATTGGACATAGAATAGTCTTGATTTAATTAACTATTTTCAAGAACTACATATTTATTTAATAGTAACAAAGCACCATTATAGTAACAAAAGCAATTAATTATCATTTGAAAAGAAAGACGCCTTAAAAGAGTTCATACCTGTATTTGTTACAATCAAAAGGAAAGAGTACTGTGCCATCTTGACCTTATAGAGTTAAGTGAATATCCATTACCCCAATGGTACACGTGAAGCTTAGTCAGTACATTCGTCTGCAATGCAGAATTTATATTCGATTTTCGTGGAAAGTTTAATTGAAATCGCATTACCCTCCCTTGGTGTAATTTAGCCACATCAGCAAAGTCATACATTTTTATCAGTGATTAGTTGATTTATTAGTATTTAGTATTTTTTAGGCTTAAATAGGAGAATTATAAAATATCACATACACATAATTTATTTTATGTAGTTCGTATTATTTTTATGGCTTTCGTGTGATAAAAGCACTTTTGTGCCGCTTTATTATATCAACAAGGGTACATATATATTTCATATAATATCAAGTGACGGGACGAACAAGTCGTGCGCCTGATGGTAAGCTGTACGCCTGTCCATAACAGTTACAGTGCCACTTAGAGATTTAAATTGCAAAGATCTGAGGGGCACTGCCACTGTGCCCGTCACCCTGAGACATAAGTTGACAAGTCTCATGGGCCTGTAATTTCACCAGCACCCTTACCCTTCAAAACCGGAAAACAGTAATGCTGACATTACTGCTTGGCGGCAGAAATAGGTAAGGTAGCAGTCCTACCCTGGACGAACTGAATGTGAAAGCAAAAGGAGCTCTACTGCTACTAATGCTAACATAGCGAAGCTGGGTGACGATTCCATCGCCGAGACTAAGACGTATCATCGCATCACCAGTGCAACCTATTTCTGCCGCCAAGCATGTCAAGCAATGTCAGCATTACAGTGTTCCGGTTTTGAAGGGTAAGCGTGCATGGGACTTGTTAACTTATGTCTCAGGGTGACAGGCGCAGAGGCAGTGCCCCTCAGATCTTTGCGATTTCAAGCTGGGGAATGGCACTGCAACTGTTATGGACAGGCGTGTAGCTTACCATCAAGCTTGTTCGTCCCGTCACTTGACATTATAAAAAAAAAATTGTCAAGGCAATTAGAGGTTACAAGATGACAAAGATACTCACCGCTTGGGCACGGTAATCCGACGCTGGCGGAACAGCTGGTCCATTGTCTCTGCCGGACTCCCACAAAGCGCAGGAAATTATTAACTTTCACTTGATCTCGTGTTCCGACCGTTTGCGCCTGCGCCTATGCAGTCACACATACCACGTACGCGGTATACTTAAGTTGCACAGTAATGTGAACAGTCCCACAATTGAAGAATTACATATGCAAACAGTCCTACGTTTAATTCTGTTTGGGAATGTCGTGTGGCATAGTTTTCTTCTGTTTATAATTCACTGGGGAAAATGAAAATAGTCTTTTGTGTTGTGCGAGTTCGATATTGGTGTTAGAGATTTCTGAACCGCTATTATAAAAAAAAACAATTAGGTTACAAATTTTTATAAAATAATCTCAGTACAGACTACAAAAAAATCCCTTTTAAAGTTTGCCGCCCTTAGAGATGGAATTTTTTCTTCAAATTTAAATGGGATCACTAACGAGGTGCCTTTCCAACAAAAATAGAGTAATCACGCAACATACATAAAAAAAAACATACAGTCATCAATTGAGAATTTTAACTGACTTAAAGAAAAGGAGAAGGCTTTTCTTTAAGTCAGTTAAAACATGAACTATGTTTGTTTGGTTTGACCTTTTTGACAAGTTTATACCTTGCTAGTTATAACAAGATTATTTAAACTTAGTGAAATAACGAGTTCTTAGGTTTTCGCGATTGTTACACATAGGAAATTAAACTATTTTTCCGTATTTAAATTGCGTATATTTGTTTTTTCAAACTAACCTGTTTTTGAAAAAACAAATATACGCGATTTAAATCCGGAAAAATAGTTTCATTTCCTTAGTGAAATAATTTTATAGGTCTATTCGAAATTATATGTAACCCGAATTCTGAACTGACTCATTAATGTAACTACGAATTATGTCAGTCATCAAAGTGAATTCATACACAACCGTATCAATGCGCAATTATCGAGTCAAATTATGACAGGAGAGAGATGATTCTCAGAAATAAATCAATGTTACATGCATTCAAAACTGCCCTACATCATTAGGCGGAGAAAATAATCGATAATATTCATTATAAATTAATAATGCATTAATGCGAAACGTGATACACAAATATTTGGCAGCGATTGGCTGAGAGAAAGTGAACACACGGTGCTTGAGCGCCGGTTGCTCTGGCAATCTTTCTCGCGCTCGTCGCTGTTGGATTAGTGTTTACTTCTTTTTTTACATTTCATCCGTTTATTGTAAAAGATTTTAATAAAACTTACGCATTGTAAGTAATTTCATTATAATCTTGTAGGTACTATTAATTATATTGACACTTCCAAAACTAAAGTTGTACACTTTTCATATTAAATATGTATTTTCGAATCATGTACAGTTTAATAAAATTTTGTGTTTTTCATAGAAACTCGTTATTCACTTAACACTTGAATATGTTATTGAATTAAGCTGTTGGATATTTGAACAAAATAAATTATAAAAATAAATTAACCACTTGCTTTAATGGCTAACGAAAACATCGATTATGATGTTACTACATGTCGGAGATAGTTCTTCTGACAATGACCTATAATTTTACTTACAGGAAAAATGTACATAACAGTGGAACTTCTATGGATTGATACAGTTTAATACATGCAAAGTAGAAGTCGACAAAAACGCACAAGGTCGCGTAATATAATAAGAAAAAATAAGAATACAAATTTTGTGATATATTACATACTGCAAAGATGGCATATTATCTACATCTTGCGTTTTTATTTATATTCAATAGGATCAAAATAACGTTTGCCCTACTTATTTAGCGTTCTTTGACTCGGACTGCAACTGAACATGATATAAGATAGATTTAATTTTTTGTTTATATAGCCCCGCAATAGAGAAACCTTGTGTCGCGGGTGCCATGAACACATAACACCATAAATTACACCCAAACTAATTAGAGAAATAAATGTAGACCATACAACTATTTCTTCTAGCCCGCTAATCGAACCCAGGGCCTCTGGCAGACCAGCGTAGTAACCGTTCGGCCACGGAGGCGGTATTATATTATGTTAAATTAGCCCTTAATTACAAAAAAATATATCGTACCCTTGTTATAATACAATCACATCTGATCATACGTCAAAAGTGTTTTTATCACTTAAAAGTCATAAATATAACACGAATCATAAACATAAACATAATTTTAAGTGATACTTAAAATTATGTATATGTGAAATTTGACAACTCGTATTTAAGCACAAAAGAGTTAGCGAGTAATTTCGTTAGAAGTAGAATCTTTGAAGCTCTCGCCTGAATAGTTGTCATTTTGCAGGTAAAGCCTTTATTACACCAAAAAGGTGATACTTTCAGTATCCAAAAAAATGTGTTTTTAAGAGTCTATACAACCTCAACCCCTTTATTTGATTCCGCATAATAGTGAAAGTGTTGAACCAATCGCTTTGGAAAAAATACATAGTAAAATTGAGAATGTGCACTGATTAGTAGACGATGTGAAAACACGATTCCTAAACGTTTTCACGATATAAAAATAACACAAACTTAGGTCGAAATTTTACAAGAAAACCGCTATATTCAATGGGTACTGTACACATACCAATTTCTTTTTTATATATCAATTGAACTAAATAGAACACGTATACCAAGCAATATACATTAATTAGTATACAAAAAAATTTTGTAATAAAGCTCGACCCAAGCAAAATTAATCGTATGAGTACGGGAAAAAATTGAATTCGAGCTGAGGTAGTGTCGACTCTTAATCAGGTGCTACTTTGCCAACCTGTTGATGAGTTTGCTCTTTACCTTATCACTACATAATTATTCTACATTTTCTTCAAAGCTAAACCTGCAATTTTACGATGAGTCTTCAAAGTTATTAAATCCAATCTCGTTATAGGTAGTTAGTTAGTTTGTCGATAAAGATAGTTAGAAATAGGCTGGCTTGTTTAAAGAAGTTCTATTTATCATAGAAATACAGTTAATAAAGTGGAAAATAATTATGCAAAAATGCAAAACATTGTAACAAACTTTTGGAAGGAATGACCATGTTTGTACTGAGAAAACAACGGTAATGTATAATGAAAATAATTATAATTTATATTACGTTAACTAGAGTTAACACACAGATTACGCGTGTGATAAGCTGATTAAACTGATGAATTTTGAGGTGGGATTAAACCGGTGAAAAAAGTACCAGCATATTCCAGTTACAGTTATAAAATGTAATTTGGTTTAACACCTACAAGTAGATAATCTTATTTATCACCGTACGATGACTATCTCATGTAGTTTGTATATATATATATGATATTTCGGTTGTTATAACACACTGCATTTACCATGGGTATTTCACATAAACTTTCTGGAGTACGCCTGACACTAAAAAAATATTTTAATTATTGACTATCTACATCTAATGATCTGTCAGGTTTAACACGAGTTTAAGCGTACTTGGTTTACTTGGTAATCTGTAAAAAAATCAATTCATGGAATGCTAATGCCTCACTTCTATGCAATTACGGATTTGCCCTAAGGCCCAGTAGGCCCGGGCCTAGGGCGGCCAATAGTGATAGAAAAAATTCACTGATAACAAGAAATAACTCAAAGTACCTAAATATTCTAAAGGCTCACACACATTACGGCGTGCCGCACTGTACCGCATCGTATAAAAATAGTCTTCCTAAATAACTTTCGCACATTTTTTGTATCTAATATGGATATGTCTACCAGTATAGGATGAGTGCTGAGAAAGGGGCTTCTGGTACTGACCCAGGGCGGCCAAGACTGCAAATCCGCCACTGCTTCTATGGGGTAAGTTCTGCCTTTACATAAAATATTAAATGTAACAATTCTTTTTTCTATTTTCATATTTTGGAACATATTCTACAATAAATAAAAAAGACTGATATTTTCCTAGTTCTACAGCAATAAAGGTGCATCAATTCGCGTGACAAAAGGCCACTTGAATTAATTTGACTGAGATAGAGCGAGTTCCATAAAAAAAACTAATTATTTTCATTACGTGAGGCAGAGTGGTCATAATCGCGTGAACGGTTCATTTTACAATATGACGATACTGAAAAGGGGGATTGCACATACAACTTAAGGTAGCTAACGCACTTGAATCAGTTTAAACCAGTTAAAAAAAATTTATGACCATGCTTATTGCACTAGCGAGAAATTAGAGCTGAAAAGATTACAGCGCCTTCTTCGCTCTTGTTACATAGACATAAAACATTTTCTGACCGACTCAAGCCGATTCAGCTTTGCTAAGTATGGCGATTCCTTAAGGTAGTAAAGTATTACAGCACGTTCATTATTTTTATCTTTTTATCATTGTATTTGTAGAAAATATTTTTGTTTTATGCATAACTCCCAATATGGAAATGTTTAAACGACAATAATTACTTGCAGGTTTTCTTTTACCACGGCATACCATTTATTCTCCATTTATTACTGAATGATTATAATAATTCAGGAATAAATTTAAAAATCTGTAGGACGAGAAAATTTAATGAAATAGAACTATTTAATATTTATTGTATTCCTGATTACCTCTTTTTATAACAATATAAAAATAATTATTAATACAAAGATCGAACACATAGAAAAAAATCGTTCGATCCGGCTGGATGCGAACCAACGTCTTCTACAAACGTATTAATAATTTAACAAACTAGTGGAGTAATTTCACAAAAAATAAATGAATAACATGGTGGTGAAATATCCTGCCATTCAAGAAAACTTAATTACAATATAAAAATATCTACCCAGTCGATGTGGACTGAATATATTATATGATTATGACTTTTATATTATATATATACAGTCCATTATACTATATTTATAATTTTAGAAAAATTCGATAACCTCGTCAGATAACTTTATTAATATTATTATTATTATTTATAAGAACATGTATTCATAAAATTTATTTAATTTCCCTAACACCAATATCATAAAAATGTATCTAGTCATACTCTACCGTTAATTTAAAAAACAGTCCTACATAGCATTCAAACACTGTAAATATCACAATTTTAAATAGGTAAATCCAAAATATCCGCACGACTTTCCAGCAATACGATGCTACGATATGTCTGAGAAAAACGCAACACACGTCCGGCCTCGAGGCCTACTGACGAAGCACTGAAGAGGTGAAGAGTTAAGCTACACGTCCAGTTTGCGAAACATTCTGAACTTCAGAAGTTGTTGGCGGATATTATAAAGAAGTTTCCGGTGATAAAATAAACGTATAAAAAGTTTTTGTGTATAAAGAAACCTTAAAATATTACCAATGGTCGGAATAGAGTGCTCCAAACAAGTAAATATCTACATAATATAGACAAGGAGTGACATACAGTGGTTAAAACCACCAATTATTAATAACGTACCTGAGATGAGGTTGAGGCTGGGGGGTGGTTAGAATTCCATTAATGTAAAAATATCTGCAATATCATCATTAGTTAAAACTTATAATTTTTTTATTATGTTATTATCTATGGATCTGTAATGTGAATATTTTGATAGTATATAGGTAAATATTTTGTATCCGTGACATATTTGCACCTTTTTATGTTATATATAAAATATATATAAAACTTTTTCCGGAAATTCGGAATATGAAAAAGTCATTAATTAATATTTGGTGGTTTTAGCCACTGTGTGTTACTCCTTGTAATCTATATGTAATCATTTATCTACACATTTGGAACACCCCATTCCGACCACTGCATATCACATATCTCAGAAGGTTAATAAAACTTCCACGGCTTCAGGAGACGTGAAATTTATAAAAAAGGAAAGATTTTTCCAGTATCGACTGAAATTCTGACGGCCTTTTAATAAACATGGTCTCTTTATAAAATTGTCGCGACTATAAAAACAGACTTGTTCCTTTTCCCAGCGCTGGTAAATCATAGATTGGTAGAGACATACCTACATTAGTGAGTTTTGCTTAAAAGTTGGAGAGGTTTGCGTGTCAACTGCCAAGAAGTCGCCAAGATACAAACTCACTTCTTTTTACCGTTCTTCCCAGCAAAAGAATAGCAATAAAATAAAACAATAGAAAGTGTTTAGTACCAATTACATTTTTAGAAAATCGTTATTGTAAGTACGACGGTTTCATAAATCGGAGACTTTGACAAAAAAAACACTTTTTTAAATTATGTTTTATTTTTCTTATAATATGTAAACTAGTGTACAGATATTTACAGTTGTAATATTAAGCAAACTTCACATTACGCTCTCCCAAAACTTATGGGCACAGCCAAACGTTGGTATGAAGGTCAGCCTTCTGTCTTGCACACCTGGGAAATATGGCAGGAAAATCTAAGAATATTGAACCCACCAAAACAAACATTTTGTCAAACTGAGGAATAAGCCTCTGTTTCAGCCACAGATCTACTAGGTCTGTGGTTTCAGCTATCACTTTCTCATTTGATGCAAATCGGTAAAAATTCAGGTAAATATTCAAATGGGTCCAAATCTGTGTGCGGCAATAGTTCGTACCATAATTCAACAAGTTTTGGTGTTCTGATTGCAGATGAGAAAATGGATACCTACTCGAAATTCCGTTATCTCCGTCTTCAAAAAATATGTTTTTTTTTTTAATTTATTAAAGCTTTGGCAAAGCCATCAGCCTAAACATGAAGTTTAATTATGTTCCTGTAAATATGGCCGCCACAAAGAGGATAGGCAATTTGAGGCGGCGTGCTTGGATTGACTCGGGATTCCTTAAAACAGGCCGATACGGGTATTTTAGTTCGAGATTCGTATAATTTCGCGTTTTAATCTGCGATTAAGGCACAACAGCACTATCCTATTCCACTTTAAACTAGATTTCACAAAATAATTGAAAGTCAAAATAAAAACGACACTTTTCCCTCCAAAAGGCCCAGCGCGAATCCCAAAAAAAAAAAATATGTCGACTTCACATAACTTTTTTTTTCGCGCTAATTTAAAAAAGTAACATCAGGTGCTTAGGAAGGAGTTCTAAATTAAGAAATAAAAATAAATTCCGAAAATAGTTTCTATTATATACATGTTCGTTTCTGCATTTTCACGTTCAAAAACCTCGCAAGTCTTAACTGAAATTATAAAGAACGGAAAATTGTGAATAAATGCATAATATTTTATACTGGTATTTTATATTGTTAAAAAAATTGTATACGATTGTTCTTTTTAATTCCTATTAGGGAAGTAATTATAAAAAGAACAATTGTGTGATTTATCGCCGTCAATAACACACGTGTGTTTTTTCACATAGTAATATCAAAAGTAAATAAATTACAGTAATTGTCACTGTAACGTCCTCTAAAGATGTAATTAGCATTGAGGGTCGCGTGCGTCCGTATGTGAGTATATTACGGCGCAGGCGCACACGCGAACCCATCAACCGATCCATAGAGACAAATTAACAGAATCGTGGTTATTGTACACAAACCGTTGTTTGCGCCAGTTCCACTTCAAACATTCTATGACGCGAGAAAAATTAATTATTTTTCGGTCTAATTATTGCTAAAATAGTAACCTCTAAGATTCCATGGATAACGGATACCAAGATAATCCACATTGCCATGGATAATTGTCCAATGCTATTCACATTCAAATAATCATTGGGCCCGATTCAACCTATTTCTCTAATTATGTCGTCATTAAAGACTTTCGCCTAAAGCAAAACTAAAGTCAAGCCGAGGGATACTTTGGTAGCCGTTCATTACCGAATCACTTCAAATCAGACATAAAGACGATGCCCCACTGTAGTTAATTAATAAAAATTAGTTAGACAATATTATAAAACACAAGTCTTCCTGGCTGCTATTAACCTATAATAATCCAGTTCTGAGTGCATCCCTGCTGCAATTGCCCTCGGCGAATCATTAGCCAATTTTAACATAAACCGTTAAGAGTTGATACTACCTCAGCTCGAATTGAAATTTTTCCTGTACTAATACGGTCCATTTTGCTTGAGTCGAGTGGCAGGGACACTGGCTTTATTTCAAAATAATTTTTTTTACAAACGCAATTATGGCCATTTGAAAATTAAAAAAAAATCACTGGTATATGTAAATTACCTATTGAATACACCGGTTTTCTTGTAAAATTTCGAAGTAAGACAATTTTTTTTCTATGGTGAAAATTTTTAGGAATCGTGTTTTCACCATATCAGTGTATATTCCCAATTTTACTATATATTTTTTCAAAAGTAATTGATTGTTGAATCAATTTTCACTGTTTTATGGAATCAACCAACGCTATTTGAGGTTGTATAGACTCTTAACATTTTATTCCGGACTAGCTGGTGCTCGCGACGTCGTCTGCGTAGAATAAGCACTTCGTGTAACTTAATGCACTATACCAATGGCCATAGTTTTATTGGTACTTCATCAAACTTTCATGCCCTATTTCGCCCATTTAAGTTTTATTTTTGTAGCAAAAAGTAAGCTTCGTCGTTCTCCTAGGTTTCATATATCATTACACCAAAATTCATTACTATTGGTTTAGTGGTTTAGGCGTGAAAAAGTGAGTGTTTCAAAATTCAGCAATTATCAACAAAACTATTGCATTAAATTGTATACAAACTAAATGTTCTATTAAACTGTTGTTTGCAACCAGCAATTTCGGTATCTTTAAAGTTCACAGAATTAAGCGTGCATATCTACAAGTAAAAAATGTAAATACAGTTAGGTTACAAATACCAATTAGTAAGCTAAATTGTTTTTTCGAAATAAAAAGCTTTAATTAAATGCAATTTAAGCCAATTAGTTATCAACATCATTATTATTTCACACGTTTTATGTTCGATAACGAATTCAAAGTAGGTAATTCAAAAGAATTGAGAATCAATATTATTAAACTTCGTTTCTCAACTCAAAAGAGAACAAGTTAGTAGCAAGACGTTGTCAAGTTTGATCGAATAAAAATCCTGTCTATAAGAAGAAAAATCAATTATTTAAAGGTGATCGCACACTTGTCGCACACACCGAACGCGCCGAAAGAATCGAAAGAATCGAAATTTAGAATTCGTTGTATGAAATCATATGAAACCTCGCACACTTATCCGCGCCGAATCGGACGAATCCCCAAATCTAACAATAATTCGGATGACGTAATGATCCGTCATCCGAAAGATTTGGCGCGGATAATGCAGATGATGCGGACGTTTCGTTCACATGTCCTGCCACCTTCACTGTGTTGCCACCCTTATTATTATTATTAGTCAGATGATTTTTTCACGTTTTAAATTATTTGTTTAAATGTTTACTACAAATTTATTGAACTCAGTTTATTTTTTCCATATTAATCCTAAATGTCATCAATATCAGTGAATAATGTGTGACATACTCCAAAGCACTGCCATTTTGAATTGATATTACGAAGCCACTTTCTTTTCCTTTGACTTATTTCACTTTCTTCATCTTCCATCAATAAAGAACTGAAAACAAAGGCCTCGTCAATTTCCATCACAATGTACAGATATTGTTCGCTTTGACAACACATCAGAAATAACGAAACGTAGGTAATTCTTTCGATTCGACCGATTCGATACTTTCGGCGCGGATAGGTGTGCGAGGCTTAAAGAAACTTCGTTTCGTTCGGCGCGGTCGCTTCCTTCGGCGTGAACAAGTGTGCGATCACCTTAAAAATACGCAGTCGAGCAATTTTTGAACTAATTATCCTTTACCGACAAGTGGAACATAAGTTCATAATAAGCTTGAGTGCAGCAGTTTGCATTCTGTTATTTTACACAGTTGGTTACCGAAAATAAATATGAATTAGGCCAAGAAATAAGGTCCATATTTGTTAGCTCAATTAATCGAGAGTAGTTGGTCGAGTAGCATGGTTATGCCATATTTGAACTTATTTCACAAGTACTACCGTTTTATTTACCTACAACGGCATCATAATCATATTAATGTATTTTCATGTGAATCATGTTATGAAACTTCGAATAAAATTATGCAGTAAAATGATGTTGACAAAAACTTGTATCTAAATAACAATGCGCTAATTATTTATTGCAGACAAGTGACCTTTACATAAAGATTGTCAAGTAAGGATTATAACAAGGATTTTAAATTTTAGTTGGCTAGTAGTATAATATCTATAGTACTTATTTAAATGTAAACAT